TTTGTTGTTTTTCAGTCGATACGTTAAGAGGAAAGTGAAAAGACTGGCTTAAAACTCAGCATTCAAAAAACTAAGATCATGGCAATCTGGTCCCATCACTTCATGGCAAATAGATTGGGGAAACAATGGAAACAGTGACAGACTTTATTTTCTTGGGCTCCAAAATCATTGCAGATGGTGACTGCAGCCATGAAATTAAAAGACAGTTGTTCCTTGGAAGAAAAGCTATGACCAACCTAGACAGCATATTAAAAAACCCGAGACATCACTTTGCCAACAAAGGTCCATCTAGTCAAAGCTATGGTTTTTCCAATAGTCTTGTGTGGATGTGAGAGTTGGTCTATAAAGAAAGCTGAGCACCAAAGAATTGATGCTTTTGAACTGTGGTGTTGGAGAAGACACTTGATCATCACTTGGACTGAAAGATCCAACCAGTCCATCCTAAAGGAGATCAGTCCTGAATATTCACTGGAAGGACTGATGCTGAAGCTGAAACTGCACTACTTTGGCCACCTGATTCAAAGAACTGACTCATTAGAAAAGACCCTGATGCTGGGAAAGGTTGAAGGCAGGAGGAGAAGGGGATGACAGAGGATGAGATGGGTGGATGGCATCATTGACTTGATGGACATGAATTTAAGTTAAGCTCCAGGAGTTGGTGATGGACAGGGAAGCCTGGCATGCTGCAGTCCACAAAGTTGCAAAGAGTTGGACACGACTGAGCGACTGAACTGAAGTTGTTGTCAAACTCTTTGCAAACACATGAACTGCAGCATGCCAGGCTTCCCTGTCCTTCACTGTCTCCTGGAGTTTGCTCAAACTCCTGTTCATTGAGTCAGTGATGCCATCCAACCATCTCATTCTCTGTCACTCCCTTCTCCTCCTGCCCTCAATCTTTCCCAGCATCATAGTCTTTTCCAATGAGTTGGCTCTTTGCATTAGGTGGCCAAAGTATTGGAGCTTACAGTGGAATATTCAGCACTAATAGGAGCCATCAAACCATGAAAAGACAGAGGAAACTCAAATGCATATTACTAAGTGAAAAAAAAGTGATCTGAAAAGGCTATATACTTTATAATTTCAACTACATGACATTCTGGAAAAGACAAAACAATGAAGAGAGTAAAAAGATTAGTACTGACTGGGGTGAGGGGAGATGGGGGGAGGTGGAGCACAGACTTTTTAGAGCAATCTATTTCTGTTTTATAAATAAGTTCATTTGTATCATTCTTTTTTAGATTCCACATGTAAGTGATTACTGTATGGTATCTGTCTTTCTCTGACTCTACTTCACTATGAGAATCTCTAGGTTCATCCACGGTGCTGTAGAAGGCATTATTTCATTCTTTTATGATTAATGCTCCATTTTATATTCTATCTTCTTTATCCATTCATCTTTTTTTTTTTTTTAGATATATTTATTTGGCTATGCTGGGTTTTAGTTGCAGCATGTGGGATCTAGTTCCCTGACCAGGAAATGAACCCGGACCCCTTGCAGTAAGAGCAAGGAGTCTTAGCCACTGGACCACCAGGGAAGACCCCTTTATCCATTCATCTTTTGATGGACATTTAGATTGCTTCCATGTCTTGGCTATTGCAAATAGTGCTGCTGTGAACCCTGGGGTACATGTGTCTCTTGAATTAGAGTTTTCATCTTTTCCAGATATATGCCCAGGAGTGGGATTGCTAGGTCATATGGTAACTCTGTTTTTCATTTTTAAAAAAATAACCTCCACACTGTTGTCCATAGTGGCTGTGCCAATACACACTCCCAACCAACAGCACAAGCGGGTTCCCTCTTCACACCCTCTCCAGCCTTTCTCTTTCTTCTTGAATATTTTTGGCATTTATGTCTATATGATATGGATGCACTACAATATACTGGTTATTGATTTTTGTCTACTGACTTCCTGTTATGGTGAGAATTTAGCTGTCTGATACAACTATCCCCTCAGCTCCTCCCCGTTCCAATACATTATCACTTTTTACTAAATGTTTGTGGTTTCTAATATTATGGCTATGCGATTATTCATAGCTGGGCATCTTCAATGCTGATTTAATTTTGTTTTATTTTCTGAAAGTCAACAATTGCCCTTTTAGAAACAATGACTTTTTTGGCTGTGCTGGGTCTTCGTTGCTGAGGCCAGCTTTCTCCAGTTGCGGCGAGCCGGGCTGAGTGGCGGGGGCGAGGCCACCCTTTGCTGCGGTGCCGGGGCCTCAGTGCCGCAGCTCTGGTTGCAGTGTGGGCTCCGGCGCGTGGGCTTCGGTAGCTGTGATGCACGGGCTTAGTTGCCCCCTGCCCTGTGGGATCTTCCAGACCAGGGACTGAACTGGTCCTTCACACTGTAAGGCAGATTCCCAACCACTGGACCACCAGGGAAGCCCTGCCTTGATATTTTTTCCTTTGTATTCTTGATAACTCTTTCACCTTCCTAAAACTGCTGTTTCTTGGCAGCATTCTCTAAATAACTCCATTCTTCTCAGTTTTGGGTTAATTTCCTTTTAGGCCTGTGACAGAGCTCTCATCTTGGGAGTCTGTAGTCATCCTAGAAATTCTTTCTTCCTTTCTTCTGATTGGAATACTGGCTACTGGATCACATGTCTTACCTTTTCTTGGTTTGCCTCTTCTTTCTTGGTTTGATTTGCTTAAAAAAAAAAAGTTGGAAGCATGTTTCACCAGTAGCTTTTGGGGCTTAGAAAGGCAGTAACTCAACAACAGGTATGGGAATGGCAACCCTTGATGTTTCTGTATTTTAAGTTATAGTGATCTGATCTAAACTGGTTATCCGCTATGGGAGTTGCACTGCCATCGTGGGATCTGTGGATCATCTTGCTTTACCTTTTGTCTTTCTTCTGTGTTAGGTTTCTTATTTTCTGTATGTATATCTTCCTTTTCTTTTTTGGTTTCTGCCCTCAGTTTGGAAGAACGTGCCCTCTAGGAGCTTCCTGAGAAAGGATGGCTGGGAGGCAGTTTTAAGATTTCGTATGTCTACAAAGTGCTCATTCTGTCATACGTACTGAACAGTTCAGCTGGGTACAGAATTCTAGATTAGTCTGTTGATTAAGGACTAGAGCCCAGTGTACTGCAGTTTAAACAACTTGGTTTATTTCTCTCACACGGATGGTCTGGAGGAAGCAGGCAGGAAGGCAGAGTTGCTCAGGCACCCAGTTTCTTCCCCACTGATCATCCCACCATTCCCTGGGTCGATCCTAAGTCAATTTACCAAAACACATGTACACTGAGGCCCATAAGAAGCGGAAGGAGAGAGAAAGCAGTTTCCTTTAAAGCTGTGACTGAGAGTGCTGCACACACTCTGCTCAGTTCTGTGGGCTCCTGTGGGGTGAAGTCGTTTTCTAGTCCATCTTTTTACTTTGGATGTTGCCTTTTCAGGCCCTAGTTTTACACAGGGATCTGGACCCAGTCTCCATGTGAGGGCTCTGGAGTTCATTTCCTATGTGTGACCCTCGTGAAAACCCCCAGCTCCAGGCTGCAGGCCCAGCTTAGCCACCGGCTGAAGCCGTAAGGGCTGCCCATCGCTCTGAGCAGCCCGCACGCCCTTCACCGCTGCCTGAAGCCCCAGGCGGGCTGGACTGCCCAGCTTGCTGTCCATCTCCACCCCCTTCTCCCTCACATACCACCTCGCCCCCTCTGCTCCCGGAGCTCACCAAGCTCTTTCCCACCTCCTGGCCTTTCCCAAGCCGTCCCCTCTGCCTGCCTCTTCCTGACATCCCCTTAGCTTGCTCCCTCCTCCTCCTGCTCAGATGTCACCACCTTGGAGACTCTCACTGACTCTGAACAACGGAGTTCATCACTATTGCTTACTCAGCTTTTACTTTCTCTCAAAGCACCCATCACTACTCACACGAGGACCATGATTTTTATTTGTTCAGGATCTGACTCTCGACTAGATAAGGACCTAGGAAGCTGATTCAGAAAGTGATACCAGGGAGCAGAACTGAGAGAAGGGGTGTGAACAGAGGAGAAAGAGTCAATACAAGGATGTGCTGTTGAGTCAACCACCCTAGGATCTTCCGAGGAAGACTTACCAGTGGTGGCTCAGAATTCTCAGGGGAAGAGAGAAGCCTGTATACCCCAGAGCTGGCTCCTTGGTCAAGGGTGCCCCTCACAGCTGTTTAATTCCCCTGCACTTCTGGGCTGCATACGTGTCAGAAGTCTGCAGCAAGTACGATCTGAGGTGAGACCCGTCAGTGTCCCTGGGCAGAGCTCGTTGAGGCCTATGGAGAAGTGGTTGCCGTGACAATGGCTGGTAAGAGGTGGGGCTGAGAGACGACACAAGGGCCTTAAATAAACATCTCCTGTGCTGCCCCAAGCACGTAGATGAGTGACTAGCACACAGCAAACACTTAATAAATATCTGAATGAATGAATGTATATATGGCGCTGCGGTCTAGTGGGGAAAAGGCAAGTAGTGATGAGTTAGGAATATTAAGTGGGCTGTGATGGGGTAAGTACAGGTTGTCAGGGGTCTATAGCTGGAGCCCAGCTAGTTTACTGGAAGACAAAGGACTTCCTGGAAGAGATGGCCCTTATGCTAAAATCTGGAAGATGAGCAGGAATTAACTGCATAGCTGGCTTACAAAGCATTTGCACATCCAAGTAAAAATACCAGTGATAGAAATCATGGGTAATATTTACCAAGCTCTTTCCTTGGGCCAATTTGCTGAATGCTTAATGGGTCTTGTTAATCTTTGTTTTTAACCCCATAAAAACGTTGACCAATCCACCCGAGAAGTCAGGTGATTTGCAGTGACTGGGAGAGATAACCGTCTCCCCACTTCACACGGGGTGACTGAGGCTCAGAGCAGGGCAGTAAGTTGCCTGCAGTCACAGAAGTTAATGGCAAAGTCGGGACAAACGCCCAGATCTCCTGAGCCCCTGCTCCTGAGCTGGGCAGACACAACAGGGGCTCAGGAAGAGGGAGGGAGGAGGAGGGGAAAGGAGACGTGGCCGTGCTGAGCTGGGCGGCACTGCTCCCCAGCTATTACCAGAAGAAGCTGAAGGAAGGCACCTGTAAGGCTCGGGAGATGGAATTGGCAGTAGGGCGGCTGCAGCCCCGGAAGAAGCTCCCCTACAACGCCCCACAGGCAGACACCCTGGAAATGCCCGAACGCAGAGTCCTCAGGGTCCTGAGCCGGCTGAAGCAGCAGAACTACGGTGAGGGCCCCAGGCTCCCCCAGTGGCTCCCCACTTCAGCCCGGGCTCTCCCAGCAGCTCCCTTCACCCCAGGCTCCCCCAGCTGGGGCCAAGGCATGGCTCCCCGCTTTGGGCCCAGCTGTGTGCTGACAATCACCCCAGCTCCAGCCCCGCACACTCTTTACCCTGAGCCCGAGCCCAGGGAGCACGGCTGGTCCCAAGAGCCTGGACTGGGAGGGCAGAGGGGCTGAGCAATCCCAGCTCATTTCTTGAGCACACTTGGGGTCACTCTCTGTGATAAGCCCTTTGCAGATGTGCTAGAATTTAGTCATCATAACCATGTGTTTATTAATACTCTATGCATTTACAATGAGAAAATTAAAGTTTAAGCAACTTGCGTAAGGCCCCACAGCGAGCATGTGTCAGAAAGGAGAGTTTATACGCAGGCCAGACCCCTGCTGTGTGCCAGGTGGGTGGACGAGGAGCTTTCCGAACGACTAGACAAGTGTGCTCCTTTCTAAGCTGCTATCAGCCTGCGCTCATCAGCTCAGCATTCAGCCAAGCGCTTTACATACACCACCCCTTAAATCCTGTCAACTCTGAGGAGGACGCCACTCTCATCTCTGGCTTCTGTAGCAGTTCAGGGAGGTCAGTTGAGTGGCCCAAACCCTCCCACGGGTCGGCCTGGCTCCCAAGGCTGAGCGTGCTCTGAAACGCCCCCCTCCTGCCTCTCCCACCGCTGCCAGCTGCCAACCTGCAGAGCCCGTACGCCCAGGTGCCTTGCATCCCGCTCTGCCCGCGGCTGGACAAGAAGACGGTTCGCCGGAAGCAGGGCGGCCGCTACGTGCTGGAACAGTGCACCACCAGCGGCCTGGGCCCCGACATCCACAGCATCCTCTTGCACGCTGGATCTCAGGGAGGCAGGTGGGTACCCCGAGAGCAGGGCAGGCCCCAGCGCAGGCCCGTCCGCCTCCTCGTGAGAGGGCCCGGGCCTAATCCAAGGGGCATCCAGCCTTCCAGGAGGCGGGTGCAGACACTGCTGCTCCAGAGAGGAAAGAGGGGAAAGGACAGGAGAGGGAAGGAACTGATCTCTGGGCCAGGCGGGTCGTTCCAAAGCCAGCGTACTCACGCCTTTCAGTGCCCAGGACTCCCTGGTGCTACCTGCCTTTCTCACGCAGAGGGTTTGATTCTCAAGGTCTTTGCCTGAGTCTGATTCCACTTTCATAGTAATAGGAGACCGGCTCAGCAGCCGGGTGGATGTGAGTTTTGCCTGCAGCGGTCTTTCCTGGGCCTGCTGGGATGAAACTACACGAGCCTTGGAGTCAGGCCCCCATCCCGACTGGGGCTCCATCCCTGCCTTGGGCAGACGGGGTGGCTCCCTCCCTCCCGCCCTTCTCCCCTGCCTCTCCCCCAGGGAACCCGGTATGAATTCTGTACCGGCTCGAACCCACTGACCCTGCCAAGTCCGGACTCTGCCTACTTCTGACGGGTCACCGGGCAGGGGCTGCTGCTGGATTGTTCTTTTGTGGCCTGGTAAGCCAATAAACAAGAACCTCAGCCTCTGTGCCTGTGTGCCCCCTGACTGTCAAGAGTGTGGGGCCTCAGGCTCCAGCGCCCTGAAGGCAGAGCTGCCCTGAAAGCCTAATGAGGGCCAGGTGTCCTGCTGGAGGCGGCCCGGGTGCAAGTCTTGACCGTCTGTGCTCTCCAAGCACAGAACGGGACTGTCCTCAGATGAGTGTCTCCAGGCCTTGGGCTAGGAGCCCCGCAAGGGCAGGGGTTCTTCCCCTTGCTTGAAGGAGATGGTGGATATGAGGGGCCTGCCTGGGAAAGACCCAGGCCTCTCACACAGGCAGACCCCATGGAGAGGTGGCTGGTGGGGTGGGGAGGCCCGCAGGGGGCTGAGCCGTGCTCTCCCGAACAGAGACCCAGGACCCAGGGGGTCTCCTTCCCTGGGAGTTGATGGGTTTGGGTTCTTGGCCTGAATTCACACGTTACCCCAGTCCTGTCCTCAGAGAGGCCCTCCCTGGGACTGAGCAGAGCGCTCCCAGCGGTTAAACACACAGCCACAGCGAAAGGTGAGAAGGTCAGAGACTGAAATGAGGACAAGGCTTTGACAAGTTTAAAACATGTATTTAAAATACAATTTATAAAATGCCTCATCTGCTGACTCAGGAGCCCGCGGTGCGGGGTGGGGTGGGCATGCCCACCGGACCGGCAGAGCAGGACGGCAGGGGGCAGGCTCCCTCCCGGGCCCCCCTGTTCAGACACCCGAGGGGCCCGCGTGCACCCCAGGGGCCGCATGGCCGAAAACAGGACCCCGGAGGCTTCCAGAGTCTCTGCCTACCGGGGAGGCCGGGGCAGCCCTGCCGGCCCGTCCCTGAGCAGAGTGTCCCCAGGCGGGGCGAGCAGGGGAGGGCGGGGCGGGGCCCTGGAGGGGCTGAGGGGAGCAGATCGGGTGTTGCCTCCTGCCTGCAGGTGGGGAGCACCCTGACTGAGTGGGCGGAGAAGGGCGGGTCACCAGGCCCAGACCCCCAGCTCCTTTGGTTATAGGCTGACATCAGAGTAGTGGCTCATGGGAAGCAGTTAGCTGGGAGGTCTGAGGCCTGGCTCAGGGGTGAGGGGGGAGCTGGGGAAGGGGACAGAACCACGGAGGCAGATCAGGGGCAGCAGCCTCAGGTTTCTGCCCCCCTCACCCCTCCTGGGTTTTCCAAGCCAAAGCCTGCAGCTTACTTAAAAAAAAAAAAAAAAAGCACTTAAGGAAAGTTACAGACAACTACAAAAAAAAAAAAAAACCCCACAAACACACGGAAATCCAAACCGTTCTCCCATCTCCCCTCCCACCTCCCCCCAACACAAGAGTTTCCTGTTTCATTTCGTTTAAGTTTTGTCTGTCACCTCTCTGTCTGGGGAGCCAGGGTAGACTGCGGGGTGGGTGGGGGCAGGCACGCAGCGGGCAGAGCCCATCTTTGGCCGGAGGGAGCGGGAGCGGCAGGCCCCACGACCCCCTCGATCCAGACACCTGTCAGCCGGCCTCCTGGGCTCCCGCCAGGAAGAGGGGAGCGAGAGCAGGTGGTCCCCACAGTGGGGCCCTCAGCACCTCTGGCCTTTCTACCTGCCGACCTTTGTACCTTCTCCAGCTGAAAAGCAGTCTCATCTTGGGCCAGAAACCACTGTCACGTGAGGGATGGACACTGTCCGTCTCGGACGCAGAAACCTGGTCTGGGCCGTGGAGATAGCAGCAGCCTTCCCCCCCTGCCCACCCCTCAGAACAGCCTGTGCTGGCACTCAGCACGCTGCAGGCTCTCACTGAAGCTGGGTCCAGCTCTCTGCACACACCGCTTCCGGGCTCCACTCAGTGGTAAGCCCGTGCTGTGGACTAGCTGCTGACTCGGCTGGCAGCCAACCTCCCCTCCTAAGGGGCAGACGCAATGGGCCAAGGCTTGCTGGGCCCCACTGACATCCCCACAGGGTGAGGTGAGGGCAAGCGGACAAAAGGCAGGAGCGAGCCTGCAAGACCTGGCCCGCCACTGTGGCCGGTACAAGCTGCCCCAACCACAAACGTCACAGCACCCTTTCCAAAACTCATCTGCCGAGCAGGCAGGCCGTCTGGCTGGCTGAGGGATGCCAGGTGCAGTGCAACGGGACAGCTCAGAAAGCCTGAAAGGGGCCAGATGGTACACACGGCTGCTCTGGGCGGAGCCCTCTAAGCCTCTTCCACCTCAAAGAGCCAAAGCCAGTCTCCAGGCTTTAAGGACAGAGGGTAAACTGCCTTCACTCAAGGCCCTTGCTCTGGAAAAAAGGGGTGGAGGGTAGCCTAGGCACAGGGGGAACCAGTCTGTCATTACCAACCTTTGCAATGCACAGCTTGTTTTTCCCCAAACGTACTCAGAATGGTTTGCTCCTAAGGTAGTGATTTCACAAGGGAAATGTCCTGGGTACAGTTACCAAGCCGAAGCCATAGACAGCAATGGCACCCCACAGACATGTGAGTTATTTCTAAGTCCTGCTGGAGCGGGAAAGTCCACCTATGTTCTGACCACACTCAGCAGGAGGCTCAGAGTCCTGGAGTCAGACTCTCTCCTGGCTTTCCTTGTGCTGACAGCAAAACACAGAGCAAGTCTCGCAGCCCTTATTCCCACAGCCTGGAGTGCAACCTCACTCCCTGCCTTCTTCCAGAAGCAGTAAGCCTGGCTGGTAGGGAACCACCCTGAGGGGTTTTGGAAGGGGAAGTCTGTTCACTTTCTCCATCTCCCAAAATACTAGAGGTGAGGGGTTGGCACCCTCCCCAGGCTCTCGGAGCCTACAGAGCTAGCCCAGTCTGCAGGCAGGGCGCGGAGGCCCTGGGCCGTAGCTGGGGGAGGGGGGTATAGGCATGGGTGCTCGTCTGTCCTGGGGGCTGCAGAGGCTGGCCCCGTCGGGGCGGCAGTAGGAACACAGAAGCTAAGCTCACCAGAGTCCTATTGGTTAATGTTTCCGGCGAATTTCCCAGAAACACTTTTAAGTAGACTACCAAACTATCCTTTCTCAATTAAAAATTCATTAAACTGCTAAAACCTCTCCCATGCACTTTTTTTTTTTTTTTGCAAATCAAATATTTGTATAAACAAAAATAGGAAGGAAAGAAAAAAAAAGGATATTTTCCCATGGAACTTGCTTTTAAGTGATGAAGACACGCACTTGAGGGTGGTGGACGGGAGTTCTCATCTGCGTTTTGAAATCCCAAATTAATGAGCATGATAAACTGTTATTGCTGGCACTGGCTTCACCCCAAGTGGCCAAGGGGCACTGCCTGACTCTCTACTCGAGTCCCTGGGGGGGTCCCCCAACCCTCCTCTAACGCCCACCCTTCCCCTTTCCATTGACTGGGGACAGCCCTTGCAGACACGCCAATCGCAGTGGGAAGAGGGGGAGGGAGGTCACAGTGCACAGGGGTCAAGGTCACAGTGGGCGGAGCAAAGGGGGTCACAGTGCAAGTCAGTCGGTCGCTCCCTCTGCTCAAGTCCAGCGGTCTGCCCCGGCAGTGCGGCCTGCAGCGGGCGGCGGCATCCTTGGCAGCCCGCGTTTATCTGCGCTGTTTGAAGCCTTGGGACCCATCGGGACCCAGAGGCTGTCTGATCACATTGTTGGGCTGCCGGCTGTCTTCCGGCTGGGAGATCCGGGTTGGCCTGAAAGAAGACCAGAGGGAGGCCTGAGAAAGGGCAAAGGAGAGGCCCCCAGATCTTAAAGTCAACTCCTGCGTCTGGGGTGGAGGCCAGTGGCTCCCGGCTGACCCTGGCCCCATAAGCCTACTTCTCTAGCGAGCAGACTCGGCGCACCTCCAAGCTGGGAAGCCCGGAGAGCAGATGGGGAGGACAGTCCCTGCTTGCGAGCGTCCGCAGCACTCTGGAGGCGGGGGGCGTGCCCCAGGGCCCGTGCTGTCCAGGGGCAGCGACAGTGGCCACGGAGAGCACGTGTCCGGCAGACCTTCGGGGGCCAGGCTCCCCAGAGGCTGGGCTGAGGCTAAGACCTCTGACCAAGACTCAGCAGGGACCCTGCCCCGCCCCGCCACTCCTCCGAGCTAACTCTAGGACTGTGAAGAGCTGGAAGAGGATGGACTTCTACTTTGCCAAATGAAGGCTCAGAGGAGAGAAAACGGAAGTCCGTCAGAATAATGAAGGCACAGAAGTGCGGCACAGATTAGAACGCCAAGCCTCCGAACACCCCCTCCCTCCCAGAGAGGCTTCTCTAGTTAGGAGGAGGGTGTTCTAACAAACACTGCTTTGCCGGGAGTCGACAAACGTACGTAACGCAACCTCTAGGGCTGCAGAGGCAAAAAAGCCACGAGTAAAAAATTCACAAAAACATCAGAGTGGGCCATGTGAGACCCAGAAGATAGCATCCGCAACTCACTTGTCATTTAATCGTTCAATAAATGGATGAGAAAAAAAATAAATAAGTGGACGAGGCAGGCGATCATCATCCCGTTTCTCAGATGAGACGGTGAGGACACAGAGGGTTAGGTAGGTCTAAGCGAAGCAGAAGGAAGCGATGGAGGTGCGCTTGAAACCGGCCAAGGTAACTGGAACCCGTGCCATCCACCCCTGAGCGCACAGCCCCGTCCCGCCCCGCAGGCCACACTCCTACCCCCCGGGGGGCGGCACTCACCGGTCGAGGATGGGCTTCTCCTGCTCCTCCTCTGGGCTGGCGCTGCCGAGGATCCGCTTCCGGGCCTCCGCGTACTCTGCCTCCCGCTGCGCCAGGGACTTGACCGGGAGGGCCGGCCTGCTGGCGGAGTTGGGGCCGCTGACCACACCGTTGCTGGTGGGCCTCTTGAGGATGCGGATCTGTGGAGGGGGGCCCGTGGGAAGGCTATCGTCCTGAATCACAATGGGCACTTTGGGAGGAGATTTGGATTTCCTGCTGACGAAGAGCAAACACAGCCTCAGAAGTCCTGTCCGCGATGATGGAGTACCCAGTGCGCCCCCGCGACTATCCCCCAACAAGCCTATTCATTAGTCTCTGGCCGCTGACCAGACACTGAAATTCTCAGTCAGGAAGGGTTTCGCCAAAGAGCAAGCCTGCCTA